AACGTCGCTGCTGCTGCTGCTGCGGCGGCGGCGGCGGGTGGAGGAGACGGTGATGTGCACTTGAATCTGGCCCGCAACGGCGTCGCGTGGCGTGGCATCACCAATGGCAGTCCCCTGCAGGTCGTTGGTGGCAAAGGTGATGACAGAGCCAACAATCTGCGCCGGGTTGCGGGCGGGCGTTGCGGCGACACCGCGGAAGGTGATGCGAGCAAGCTCGACCGATGTGCCGGCGACCGTCTCCTCTGGGTCAACGGCGCCACCGACGCGAATCACGCCTGGCGGGTCTACCACGGCCTGGAAGATGCCCTTGGTCCAGCCAGCGCCCTCAGTGATCTTGGGGCCCGTGGTGGTGGTGGGCACCTCCAAAAAGGCGGTGCTGTAGCGAATCTCAAGGTCAATGGCGCCCAGGTTGACGCCGCCCGTGTTGATGATCACGGGCACCTCAAACTCGTCGTCGCGCGCCTGAGCCGGCAGGGCGTAGCCGCCAGTGAAGCCCAGGTCAAAGTCGCCCACGTCCGGCTGCAGGTTGCAGATGATGGCCGTGGAGCCGGACACGAGGCTGTCGAGCACGCGGGCCACCACCTCCACCTGCGAGGCGCGTGTGCCCTGCAGCGTGGCCTGCGCCAGCGCGTTGACGGACAGCGGCGCGGTGGAGCCGTCCGAGATGACGGAAAAGGAGAGGGAGCCCGGCAGGAGCAGGGCGCCCGTCGTGGCGTCCACAAAGTCGTTGCGGATGGTGCCGTCGTCAAAGATGGCGCCCATGGCAATGGTGCTGCGCGCGCGGCTGGCAATGCCCTCAAACACATACGCACCGTCAACAACCGCCTTGCCCGGCAGCCGCAGGTCAATCAGCTGCTGCACGCGCACGGCGCGGTCCGTGACGGTGAGGAGCTGCGCCGGCGCATCAAACGAGCCAAAGCGCGCAGACACGTCCACTTGCAGGTCGCGCGAGGCGAGCGTGGCGTCCTGACCGCTGCGCACGGAAATCACCTTGGCACTGCTCACGCTGACAATGCCCGTCTCCACCACGCCCGTGCCGGGCTTGAGGATGCGCGCGCTGCAGCCCGTTGTGACGTCCAGCGAGTCGCCGTTGGACAGGGTGAGGGCCACATTCATGGCCGCCTGCTGGCGGACCGTGGCCGCGGCGTCGTTGGGGTTGAAGTAGCGGTTGAGCGATGAGACGGTCACGTTGTTGCTGTTGGCGTACGACGGGTACGGGCGCAGCGCCACACGCACGCCCGTGGCGGCGACCACCTCCACGTCCACGCTCACGGTGATGTCCACGTGGATGAAGCGGATGGTGAGCACGCCTGCGCCGCCCGCGCCGCTGGTGGCGTTGGCCTGCGGTGCAATGGGGCGAATCACGGGCGAGAACGAGCCGTCCGCCGGCGGGCTGCACTCCAGCGACGCCTCGTCCGCGCAGATGGTGAACACGCCGTTGGCGCCGGAGAGGTCGTACACGGTGCGAGGGTCGGTGGCCATGTCAATGAGCTGCTCGTTACCGTTGCCAATGTCGTAGACCAGCGCCACGCCAATCTCGCTCTCCGTTGGCAGGCCCGCCGCTGCGGCGTCGTCGCTCTCGTACGTGAGCAAGGGGTCCACCCCCGTCACGCGCACGTCCGTGGGCGCGGGGATGGTCACGTCCACGAACGCGCTCGACTCAACAAGGTCAACCGAGTCTGTCTCCGGATCGGCGTTTGGTGACTCGCACAGCACCGTCCACGTGGCGCTCAGCAAATTGCCAGAGCCGGAGCCCTGTGCCAGCACGTGCCTGTTGTCAAAGACGAGGTCGCCCGTGGACGGCACAGCAATCACGCCGCGGTTCGCCTGGTCCACGGAGAGGCGAAGGCCAGTCTCCGGGCCAACGACCATGCGCGAGCCGTCCTGGAAGCGCGCAAACGCGGCCACGCTGCCCACCTCCTGCTCCTGGTCCAGCGCCTGCGAGATGGAGACGACCGAGGCCGACGCCAGGCCCGTGAAGGGGCTGTACAGCGGCTTGACCGTCATGTCCGTGAACACGATGAGCTCCAGCTCGTCCACCAGCAGGCTGGCAACGGTGCTGCCGCCGAGGCTCGGCACGGGCACGCTGCCCACGGCCTCCACTGTGGTGTTGCCAATGGTGCGCTCTGGCACAGCCGGGTTGATGACGGCAACGACTGCGCTTCCGAGGCGGAAGCCCCGCGCCACGTTGCCCTGCATCTGGATGGCGGTGGACTGCGCCGCACCCGTGGCGTCGAGCGCCTGCAGCACGCCGCTCACGTCCTTGGTCACGCGCACGCGCACGGCGCCGGCGCCGCTCTCCATGCGGCTGAACATGGCAAAGGCGTGGATGCGGGTGTCCTGGAACTTGTCGCGGCACGTGGACGCGTCCTCGTCAAACCACTGCCACCCGGCCACGCGCGCCAGCATCGGGTTGTCCGCCTGCAGCTCAATCGGCAGCTGCGGCGCCCACACCTCACCAAGGCAGTCGCCGTTGGCGGTGGTGTTGCTCACGGCGTCGCGCACAGACACGGCGATGCTGGCGCCGGTCATGCCAGACGTCTCGTCGCCAGCGAGGACCACGCTTGAGCAGTCACTGCTCACGTCCCACACGTGCGGGTGGCGGGAGCTGCAGGACAGGCCTGGCGTTCCCGTGGTGCCGGTGACAAGCTGCATGTCGCCGGCAGCGTCGCTGGTCACGATGCGCAGCGGGAACGTCTGCTCCCCGCCGTTGACGATGCAGGTCGTTTCGACAAATATGCAGCACTGGAGAATTCGCAGACAAATCAGGTATACCTGACTGATACATCGGTAAGTCGACTGGCCGCCTCATCGGAACCCCCAAGAGTGCTCCTTTTTCTACAAGCTGTTAAGACTCATAATCCTACTGTGTGTATCTGGATGTGATAATGGTCTTCCCGAGGTCAATTGTAACTGATCCTCGTTCGGAGTCCCGCCGTGCCAGCAAGTTTTCACCATGTACGTATCGAGCGTACGAAGTGGGTTCGCGAACCGCCGTCCGACATATCGTAGTAACGGACGCTTTCTAAAACCAACCTATATCCGGAATTCGCCTGATATGTATGACCTAGGCGACGCTACTGGAAGCAAGTATCACATAGTGTTGCGTTCTGGTTTCGAATCTCACACTCGTTCCTCATCGTGGGAGAGTACACAGCGGAGACTTATACAGAACTCCTTCGGACACTAACGGACATGGCCTAATTGGCGCGCAGCACCTTGCCCTTGAAGGCGGGGTGCGTGGGCAGCTCCACGAGGATGTTGCGGTTCAGCGTCCAGGGCTGCTCCTGCACAAGCGACACAGAGGGCAGCAGCGTGAGCGGGGCGCGCTCGTCCTCAAAGCCCGCCTGCACGGTCAGGGTGCGGCCGACACCGGCCACCGTGAACCATGCCGCGGGCACGGCGACGTTCACCGTGCACACGCCCAGGCGCGAAAACTGGTTGGTGCTGGAGCCCGCGGTGCAGGCCTGCTCCACGGCAACCGTGCTTGGGTCTGCGACGCCGAGGTCCGAGGCCAGGCCCGCGTCTGGAGTGATGCGCACCTTGACCGCCGTCAGCAGCGACGGCGGCGAGAAGTGCTCCGTGCGCACCTGCGCAGACACGCGCACGTACGCGTCGTCATGGTACACCTTGCTGGTGAGCAGCTCCACCCGCACCTGGTCAATGGCGCTCGGCACAGACGTGAACGCGCGCGAGACGGTGCCGGAGGCGAGGGCGGCCTCAAACGTGCCGCCCAGCCCCGTGTAGGTGGACGTGTAGTCGAGAATGTCAAACGTGTAGATGAGGTGGAACGTCACGTCCGCGTCCGTCGCCAGGCCGTTCAAGTCCATGGCCGTGACGCGGAACGTGACCGTCTCGCCCTGCTCGCGCACGATGACCGCGCTCACGGCAATCTCGCCCGTCTCCTCGTCAATGTAGTACTCGCCGCCGCCGGCGTCTGGCGTCTTGAAGGAGTAGCGGACCACGGAGAAGTTGCCCGTGTCGCGGTCCGTGGCGTTGAGCTGCAGCACGACCGTGTCCTGCAGCGTGCCAATGCGCACGTTGGCCTCGTAGTGTGCCAGGTTGGACGTGTTGGCGGGGTAAAACGTGGCGTCGCCCTGCAGCGCCGGCCCAAACATGGGGTGGTTGTCGTTGACATCCTCCACAATGACGGACACGGTGGCGGTGGTGGTGTGGAAGGGGAACGTCTGGTCCTGCGCCTGCACCGTCAGCACAAACTGCGCCCGCGCCTCGCGGTCGAGCGGCAGCGTGTGCGTGATCTCGCCCGACACGGGGTCAATCTCAAACGTGACGGGGTCGTCGGTGCGGTCAACAATGCTGTAGCGCACCTCCGCGGAGAGCCCAATGTCATCGTCCGTGGCCTGCACCGTGCCCACGGTCGACAGCGCCGGGGAGCTCTCCAGAAGCGAGAACGTGTACGTGGACAGGGTGAACACGGGTGAGAACGAGTTGGTGCACTCGCTCGTGGCAACGTCGTTGTCCAGGGTGGTGAGTGGGCTGTAGCCCGGCACGTTAACCTCCAGCGTCTGGCTGTCCCGCACGGGAAGGTTGAAGTTGATGGTGTCCGGGTACAGGAGCGGGGTCACAGACTCGGGCGGCCCGACGATAAACTCGATGCGCGTGGGGTCTGTGCGCAGGTTGGAGTTGAGGGTGACCACCACCACTGAGACACCAATGGAGCCCACGTTGTCCGTGGTCATGTCTGTCTGGATGGCGGCCGCATACACACCGGCAGACGGGTTGACGCGCTCCGCGCGGATGAGCCCGCCAAACACGCCGTTCGACTGGCCCGTGTGGTCGATGCCAGCCACCTTGGTGCCCAGGCACTGCGGGCAGTCGTCCACCGACGAGGCAAACAGGCTGGTCATGGCGGACTGCTTGGAGGCGAGGTCAAAGAAGACGTACGTCTGCTGCTGGGCGTCGGGCGCGGTGTCACCCACGTCACCCTTCTGCAGCACCGTAGCCTCCAGGTACACGACACACCCGGCATCGCTCGTTACGTTGATGGGCTTGACGGTGAGGTCGTTGAGGAAGCGCGACAGCTGCACGGAGGCCTTGGCCAAGTAGAAGGCATCGATGCTGTCAATGAGGCCGTTGCGGTCCGCATCCATGTTGTTCAGCTGCCGCAACGAGGGCGGCGAGGCAAGGAAGGCCGGGCCATACGTACCCGTGAACCCAACCAGGTCCTCCACAACGTACTGCAGCGTGTACGCCACATCAACAATGTCAAACACGCAGTCGCCGTTGGCGTCGCCCGTCTCTGCGTCGCTGCCGCACGTGTCTGCACGGCGGCCACGCGACAGCACGCGCTGGCTCTTCTGCTGCTTGCCTGCCGACGTGTAGCGGACAAACGAGGGTGGCACGTTCACTGTTGCAACAACGTCTTCCTTGCTGCTGCTGCTGCTGCTGCTGCTGCTGCGACGGCGGCGCCGGGCCGCGCTCAGCTGCACGTTGACCAGGCCAGCCACAAAGTCGCGGTCGGGCGTGCCAATCGGCGTTTGCCCAGACACAATGTCCGCCTCCACAAGCTGCTCCACAACGCCGCGAATCTGGGTGAGCCCGGTGCCGATGACGTTGAACTTGATGGTGGCGACGTGGTAGGCAGCGCCCTGTTGCGTGGCGTCGCTTGGGGAGCCGGACACGACGTACTCGCCTGGCGGGTCGTTGGTCTGCGCCACGAGCGGGCCGCCGCCCCAGTTGGCGCCCTCCGTCAGGCCGTTGTCCACGGCCTCCAGCTTGGCGTCGTCGTAGAACATGCGCAGCGTGAAGGCACCAAACGGCGTGTTGGCCACGTTCATGGCCACGCGCACGGTGATGGTGTCGCCCACACTGGCGGGCTTGACGGGGATGCCGCTGCTGTCGCCCAGGTCAATGTCGGCAAAGGCCGGCTGCAAGTTGCACGCGAAGGACCTCGTCGCAGTGACGGAGGTGCCAACTGCGCTCGCCGTCAGCACCACGTTCTCGTGGTAGTTTCCGCGCAGGGTGACGGTGCCGCGCGCAGCGTCCACGGTTGCGGGCTGCGTCGTGCTGAGGGAGAAGGAGATGAGGCCCGGCAGCGTCGGGTCGCCGTTGTTGGCAAACAGCGTCAAGTACTCCGTGCCGTCGCTCAGCACGCACGCAAGCTTGGCCTGCGACGTCTGCTGGTCAATCACGCCCGTGAGCGTGGAGACGAAGGAGAAGCTCTTCAGCTGCGTCACCTGCACGGGGTTCTGGTCGTCCACGGTGATCTGCAGCGAGGACGCCTCCACGCCGGCAAACGCACCAATCAGGTCCACCGTGCCTTCGTTCAGGGCCTCCATCAGCTTGATGGTGCCAGAGTCGCCAATGGCCACCACGTTGTTGTTGGGCGTGGTCGTGCCCGCGCTGTACGTGACGTAGCTCGTCTCCGGGTGGGTGTTCACAGACAGGGTCGTGCCGTCGGAGATGCTCAGGGTCATGGCAAGCACGGCGCTCTGGCGCACGGACGTTGGGCCGATGCGGCTCAGCGTCGTCTCAGACACGGAGGCTGACCCAGAGTACGTGGGGTAGGGCGAGGAGAACACGCTCACGCCAGCCAGCTTGACAACCTTGACGTTGACGCCGTTGCCCGGGAGGCTGCGCAGGAGCGTTTCGTTGAGGTTGGTGAAGGTGACAAAGAGGCGGCCCGTGCCCACGTCCCCGTTGGAGTTGGGCACGATGCGCTGGGCATCGCCGTTGCGCTCCACGGTGAACAGGCCGTTGCTGTCCTCCAAGCGGTACTCGATGCGGTCGTCGAGGGTCATCTCCTTCTTGCGGTTGCCATCGTACAGCAGGAACACGCGCACGGTGCTGAACGTCTTGATGGAGCTCTCGCGGGCCAGCGGGTCCGCCGACGACACGATCCGGCTCTCCGAGGACGTGATCTCCACGCCAATCGGGTCAGCCAGCGTGACCTCGAGGTCCACGTTGCGCGTGGCGATGGTCTGTCCGCACGCCTGCCACGCCGCCGTCACGCGCACGCTGTCAGAGTCCGTGCCGGCCACCACCTGGTCCGGCATGATGGACGCCACCGCAGCGTTGGAGGACGTGAGCATGAGCCCGTTGGCCGAGGACACGGCAACACGCGTGCCGTCGTCCATGACGGCGGACGCAATCACGTGGCCGATGCGGCCCTCCACGTCAAGCTTGAGCGAGTACTGCGCAAGCGCGGCGGGGGAGCTGGACCGGGCGTACGTGGTCGTGGACTGTGGCTCCTCAAGCGTGAGCTCAGAGGCCACCACGACGTTCAGGTCAATCACGCCCACGGGGTCCGTGGTCACGTCGACGGCGGTCGTGCCCACGGTGCGGCCATCGCTCGTCACAACAGACACCTGCGCGCTGCCCACGCTCTGGCCCGTGATGGTGGGCGGGGACGCCGTCTTGCTCAGCGCCACGTTACCGTTGCTCACGGCCAGGCGCGACTTGACGGTCTCCGTCACATCCACCGTCACCACGGCCGAGCCAGAGCCCAGGGAGAAGTCCGCGTGGGCAGCAATGTCCGCCGACTGGAAGATGGCGGCGCAGGCGTTGGCCTCGTCGCGGTACTCGGAGAACTGGCCCAGGCTGGCATCGCTCGTGGTGAGGGCAAGCGGCGTGGCCGGGTGCCACACCTTGAAGGGCACGCGCGTGGAGGCGCTGCCAATGGTGACAACCACGTCCGCGCTGGTGGCCCCGCTCGTCTCCGTGCCGTCCAGGCGCATGGAGCAGCCCGAGGTCTGCAGCACAGCCGCGTTGGCGCTGCTGCAGCTGGCGCTCGCAGACGAGCACGAGTCGCTGCAGGCCGCGGTGGCCGACGAGCGCGGGCAGGCGTAGCACGCGAGCGTGGTGATGCCAACCGTCTGCGCGCTGCCCGTGAGCCGCGCCGTGTTGACCACCTGGCTCTGAGCTGCGTAGGCAATCACGCCGCGCACGCCGTTGGCGGCAATGTACACCTGGCCGGTGCGGCCCGTGCCCGAGCGGGAGATGAAGGTGCCGGCAACAGAGCCCGTCTGGCCGCGCACCTTGACACGCGACACGCGCGTGCTGCCAAGGCCCTCCACCACCATGCTCATGGAGGCAAAGGCGTCCGTGGTAGCGCCAGACTGCACAATGTAGTCGATGGTAATGAGCTGCTGGCGACCCACCTCGCCCTGCTGAATCTTGTCCGGCACGGCGTTGGCGGCAATGACCGTGGTCGAGCCAGACTCGGTGACAATGGAGTTCCACAGCGACGAGTCAATGTTGATGCGCTCCAGGGCAATGTTGCTGTCTGTGGTGAAGGAGAGCGTGAACGTCGTCACGTAGTATGTCACGTCCGTGGACACGGTGGCGCGGAAGCGCTGGCCAGGGTACACGGGCCGGCCAGGCAGCTCCTGCACAACGTCGTCCACGTACAGCGAATCCGACACGCTGATGCGCGGGCGCAGCAGCACCGATGCCAGGTCAGTCATGGTGCTGCCGGCGATGCCATAGCGCACGGTGACGCGGTGGTCCTCGCCCGGAACGAAGTACGCCGCGGGCAGGTCCGCGGTCGTCAGCGAGCACACGCCCGTGTTGACGTTGGTGGTGCACTGCTTGGAGATGCTCGAGCTCTGGATGTCAAGCAGCGCCTGGTCCGGCACCAGCTCCACGCGCACGGTGGTGGCGGAGAGGCGGGAGGAGAAGTCCTCATCCCGCACTTGCAAGGCCACGCGGACGGATGCGTCGTCGTACCACACCTCGTCGTCATCGTTCAGCAGCACCGCCCGCACCGTCGTCGCGTCCTTGCGCGCGTCGCGGAAGTTGCCAGAGGCGCTCAGGGCACCAAACTGCGTGGTGACGGTGCCTGTGCTCAGCACGTTGGCGTCCACCAGGAGGCCAAACTGCTGCTGCACGTCGCCATTGGCGTTGCGCGCCGTGTTGCCGATGAGGAAGCCGCGCCCAGAGATGGAGAAGGTGGGCAGCAGCTCGTCCACCACCAGCACACGCAGCGTCATGGTGCCCTGCCTGGCCTGCGGCCGGCCTTGGTCGTCCGCCTCAATGGTGAGGGTGAACGCGGTGGGCAGGTCCGAGGACACGTCGCGGCCCGTGCGCACCTCGCCACTCAGCCGATCGATGGTGAACGTGTTGCCGACGTTGCCGTCCAGGATGCTGTAGGCGATGCCGCTCGTCTCACCGCACGCCGCATCGCCGTCCGTGGCCATGACCGTGGCCACCAGCACGCCGGCCTTTGCGCCAGAGGAGATGGACGTGCTCACCTGCGTCTGGTTGAACGCCGGTGCGGCCGTGTTCTCCTCCACCACGCGCACGTTGACAAAGCCCTGCGTCTGCATCACGGGGATGCCGCCGTCGCGGGCCATGACGCTCAGCTGCACCGCGGCGTCCGTGAAGCCGCACAGCGAGCGGGTGAGCGTGAGCACGCCCGTTGCCGGGTCCAGGCTGACGTAGCCCGGGTGGCTGGTGGACACCAGCGAGAACCGCAGGAGCGCGTTAGGACCAGAGTCTGCGTCCGTGGCGTTGATCTGAAAGATCGGCGTTCCCACGGCCGCGGCGCGCCCAAGGGTGGCGACAAACGGCGACTGCCCAAACACGGGCGCGTTGTCGTTGGCGTCAAGCACGTTCACGGTGATGGTGCCGCTGCCCGTGCGAGCAGGGACACCGTGGTCGCGCATGCTCACGCCAAAGGAGTACGTGGTTTGCGACTCGTAGTCGACCTGGGTCTTCAGGTACAGGCCACCGTCCTTCCGCAGCTCAAAGGGGAAGTTCGCCAGGGCAACGGGGTCGGTCTCCGTGAGGAAGTAGCTGATCACGCTGGCATTACCCGCGTCAGCATCAACCGCCTGCAGCGTGGTGATGAGCGTGCCGTTGGCTGCGCTCTCACTCAAGGAGGTGGTGGCGGTGCCGCTGGGGAACGCGGGTGTGTTGTCGTTGACGTCGTCGATGCGAATCGTCACCTCCACGGAGCCAACGTTGGGTGGCATGCCGTTGTCCGTGGCCTGCACCAGCAGCTGGTACGTGGCAAACGTCTCACGGTCAAGCGCGGACGCAACGGTGATGGCGCCCGTGCTGGCGTTGATGGCAAAGTCGCCGCGCGAGCCGAGCGCAATACTGTACATCACAGTCGTGGCAACCGTGTCCCGCTCCGTGGCCACCAGCTGCAGCGCCAGGTCGCCCACGCTCGCGTCCTCAGACACGTGCACCTCGTAGCTCGTCTGGTTGAACACGGGCGCGTTGTCGTTGACGTCGGCAACAAAGATGATGGCGGTGATGTAAGTGGTGTGCACGGGCGTGCCGCTGTCGGAGGCAGACACGTTGAGCGAGAACTGGCTCCTCGTCTCAAAGTCCAGCGACTTTCGCAGCCACAGCGCGCCCGTGTCCGCGTCCAGCTCGAAGGTGTCGTCAACGTTGCCGGACACGATGGCGTACGTCACGCGCGAGGCCGGCGAGTTGTCCGCATCCGTTGCCGTGATGTTGAGGATGACGGTGTCGTTGAAGGCGTCGCCTTCCGGCAGGCGGCGGCTGTAGAAATCGGGCACGGAGAACACGGGCGAGTGGTCGTTGACATCCAGCACCTCCACAATCACCGTTGTTTCGTCCTGGAAGTCGATGTTGCCGGCATCGTGCACGCGAACCGTGACGTTGTACGTAATCTGGCCCATCTCGCGGTCGAGCGTGATCAGGGACACCAGGCGACCGTCGGGCTCCACCGTAAAGGAGCCAGGCACCTCCTCCGACAGGAGCGTGAACACGCTGATGTTGTTCGGGTAACTGTCCAGGTCTGTGGCGGGGAGCAAAATGGTGGTGTTGCCACCGTCCACTTGCTCGGGCACGCGGAAACGAAGCGGGTGTGACGGGAAGCGCGGTGGCTCGTCGTTGACGTCCGTCACCCGCACCGTGACGGCCGTGGTGTCGTTGAAGGAGGCCACAACCGGGTCGCGGGCCAGGACCACGACGTGGTACGTGGTACGCTGCTCGCGGTCGAGCACGGGCGCGTTGCCAGACGCGTTGGCGTTGAAGGACAGCATGCCCGTCGCCGCGTCGATGGAGAAGAAGTTTTGCTCGTTGCCGGCGACAATCGAGTACACAATCTGCGCGTTGCTGCCCGTGTCCGCGTCCACCGCCTGCACCTGCACCAGGTCAACGTCGGCCACCTCATCCTCGGCGACGTGGGCAACAAAGGCCTGCTCAAACACGGGCGGGTTGTCGTTGACGTCGGTGACGGTGATGCGCACGCTGCCCGAGCGTGTGAGCGGCGGGGTGCCGCCATCGGAGGCCAGAATCTGCAGGTCGCGCGTGGTTGCTGCCTCGTAGTCAAGCATCTTGCTGAGCGTCAGCTCGCCCGTGGCGCGGTCCAGGGAGAAGGCGGCGTCGTCGTTGCCAGACACAATGCTGTAGCGCACCTGTCCGCCGGCGCCGAGATCCGGATCGCGCGCCAACACGGTGAGCAGCGACGAGCCCGCGGCCGTGGACTCAGGGATGGATGCGGTGAACTGCGTCTTGGAGAAGGTGGGCACGTTGTCGTTTATGTCCAGAATGTCAATGAGGATGTTGATCGTGTCCGTGAGCGGGTTCTCCACAACGTCGTCCGTCACCCTGACGCTGAGCACGTACAGGGCGGCCGTCTCGCGGTCCACCGACCCGTTGATGCTGATCACGCCCGTGCTGGGGTCAATGGCAAACGCGTCCGCCACGTTGCCGCTGACGATGCTGTAGGTGAGGGCGGCCGTGTCCCCGCAATCCGCGTCAGTGGCAGCGACCGTGGTCACCACATGGCCGTCTGCCGCGCCTTCGGACACGTTGAGCTGCAGCGTGGCCACGGGGAACTGCGGCGCGTGGTTGTTGACGTTGAGCACGGTCAGGGTCACGGTCACCGAGGTGGACTGGCCACCGGTGCCAAACGCGCCCTCAGAGGCCACCACCGTCAGCGTGTACACAGACTGGTCGGCGGCACACAGCGCCTGCGTGCTGGTGATGGCGCCCGTGACGGTGTCGATGGCCCAGCGGCCCAGCGCGTTGCCCGTGGTGATGGTGTAGCGGACGGGGCGCGCTTGCGTGCGATCGCCGTCCACGGCCTCCACCGTCAGCACGGTCGTGCCCGCGGCAATGGTCTCCTGCACGTCTGCGCTGTACGAGGCCTGGGAGAACACGGGCGGGGAGTCGTTGGCGTCGGCGATCACTACCACGAGCGGCGCCGTGCTCACGCGGCGCACGGGCGTCTGCTCGTCCGAGGCCTGGATGCGAAGCACAAAGCTGCTGCGCTCCTCGCGGTCCAGCGAGCGCAGCAGCCGCACCACACCGGTGCTGTTGTCGATGGTGAAGTGCGGGTCCGTGGCGTTGTCGCCGCTGATGATGGAAAAGGCGATGGCCTCCGTGTCGCCGCAGTCCTCGTCCGTGGCGCTCACCTGCGCCACAAACTCGCCGGGGCCGGCAAGCTCCGAGACGACAATCGGGTAGGAATCCACGCTCAGCACGGGGTCGTGCAGATTCTCGTTGGACACGTTGATGGTCACCGTGGCCGTGGCCGTGTCGACAGAGTCTGTCGCCTGCACCGTGAGCACATGCTGGGGGTTCCGCTGCGCGCACAGCGGCGCCTGGTTCACCAGCTCGCCGCTCACGGGGTCCAGGCGGAACGTGTCGTCGACGTTGCCGGCGATGATGCTGTAGCTCACGGTATCGGTGCCCTCGGGGTCGGTCGCCGTCAGGCGCACGATGGGCGAGTCAATGACATTGGCCTCCCCCAGCGTCACCATGTACGAGCTCGGGTTGAACACGGGCGGCTCGTCGGGAACGTTGCCCACCTTGATCACCAGCGTCAGGCGGCCCACGCGAGAGGGCACGCCGTCGTCGCGCGCGTCAATGGCCACCGTGTACTGCGTGCGCGTCTCGTAGTCCAGGGCGCGCAGCAGCGTGACAATGCCCGTGCTCGCGTCAATGCCAAACTCCTGGTTGGCAGACAGGTCAGAGTCGAGCGTGTTGATCGAGTACCGCAGGCCAAGCGCGTCGCCGCAGTCGGCGTCCGTCGCCGTCGCCTGCAGCACAAACGTGCCCATGGCCGTGTTCTCGGGCACTGTCACGGTGAGCGTGGCGGGCGAGAACGTTGGCGCGTTGTCGTTGACGTTGGAGATGGTCACGTCCAGGACAGCGTAGCCAACCAGGCCATCAAAGCGCGAGTCGCGAATCTCCAGCACCAGCGAGTACGCCGGCGCCGTGCGCGCGCACTGCGCCACCAGCAGCGTCACCGCGCCCGTGCTCGCGCCCAGGTCAAACACGTTGGCGTCGTTGCCAGAGGCAATCGTGTACGTGTACGTGGTCCCGGCGGTCGCCGATGCCACCGTCGTGAGCACGCTGCCTGTGGCGGTTGTCTCCGGCACGCTCACCGTGTATTTGTTCTGGGAGAACTGGGGCGTGTTTGGCGCGGGCGCCTGCTTGGTGATCTGCACCTCAACGAGCGTGGAGCGGCCGCCGGCGTCCGTGGCCACGGCGTCCAGCACGTACGGCGTGTCCTGCGTCAGCGGTGCGACCACGGTGATCACGCCCGTCGTTGGGTGGATGGTGAAGGCAAACTGCGTGTTGCGGTTCAGCGTGTACGTGATGCTGTCGTCGCAGTCGGCGTCCGTGGCCCTGACGCGGCCGGCGTACGCGTTGAGGGAGCTGTCTGCGGTGAAGCTGTAGCTGGCCTGCTCAAACACCGGCGACGCCGCATTGGACGCGGAGAAGCTCAGCTGGACAACCGTGCCCGCGCTGCGTGCCTCCGGCTGGCCGTCGTCCGTCGCCGTCACCACCAGTGTGTACGAGCTCTGCGTGCGCGAGCACACGGGAGCGGCCAGCGTCAGGCTGCCCGTCACAGCGTCAATGGCAAACACGTTGCCCGTGTTGCCGGAGGTGATGGCATAGGCAATGTTGTCGCCGTCCGCGTCGGTCGCCCCGACCAGCACGAGCTCCGTGCCAGTCGACACAGAGTCGGCAAACGTGCCGCTGTACGTGGCAGCAAACACGGGCGCGTACTGGTTCACGTTGAGGACGGTGACGAGCACGGTGGCGGTGGAGGTGCGCGGGGACGAGGCAAAGTCATCCGTGGCGGCTACGGTGAGCGTGTGTTGCGCAGCGCCACCGCTGCTCACGTCTGCGTTGAGCGGCTGCACAACAGCGAGCTCGCCCGTCTCGCGGTTGATGGCAAACAGGCCGTTGCTGTTGCCGCCGGTGATGCGGTATGTGACCGCGTCCCGGCAGTCGGCGTCGGTTGCCTGCAGCTGCAGCAGCACGCTGCCCACGCTGCCCGTCTCCGAGACGTTGACGCTGTACTGGGCCTGGGAGAAGGCGGGCGCGGCCGTGTTGGCCGGCACCACGCTCACGTCCACCAGCGTGTACGACTGCAGGTCGGGCCGCGTCTTCGACTGCGCCTGCACCTGCAAGCTGTACGCGTCCTCCGACGCAGCGCACACGCGCGACATGAGCGTGATGGCGCCGCTGTTGGCGTCCACGGCAAACTTGCCGGCCGAGTTGCCGCCCGTGATGCTGAAGGAGGCAATGCCGGTGCGGTTGGTGGCGACCGTCGCCACCGTCGTGCCGATGCTGGCCGACTCGGCCAGGTCCGCCGTGTAGCGCGAGCTGGTGAACAGCGGGAAGTCGGGCGACGTCTCCACCACGTTGATGAGCACATACATGGTGTCGGAGAGATCGCCATCAGAGGCAGACAGCTGCAGCGAGAAGGAGGAGCGCTCGGCAAAGTCCAGCTCGCGCACGAGCGTGATCACGCCGCCAACCGTGTCGAGGTCAAACGTGGGCGGCGTCGTGTCCCCGCTCACCACGCGGTAGCGGATCTCCGCCTCGTCTGCGCAGTCCTGGTCCGTTGCCTCCACGCGCGTGACGTAGTCGCCCAGGGAGGCTGTCTCCAGCAGCGTCACCCGCACCAGGTCCTGCGTGAACACGGGAGCAAACGCGTTGCCCGCCGTCACGGTGATGGTGAACTGCGTGTCGGTCGACTGCGGCGGCGTCCCCGTGTCCGTGGCGCGCACAATGAGGTTGTACGTGCTCTTGTCGGCTGCGCAGAGCGGCCCAAGCGCGCGCACAATCACTCCAGTGGTGGGATCGACGCGGAAGGCGGAGCCCGCATCGCCACCGACAATGTTGAAGAGCACCAGGTCGCCGTCGCCGTCCGTCGCCTTGACCGTGCCAATCGCTGAGCCCGCAGACGCGGTGTCCGTCACGCTGGCAGACATCTGCGTGTGCGTGAACACGGGCTTGTGGTCGTTCACGTTGCCGACGGCGATGGTGATGGTGGTGGTGGCCGTGTTGGGCACGGGCGTGGCGCTGTCCGAAGCCTGCACGCGAAGCTCGTAGGTGTCCTGCACCTCGTAGTCGAGCGGCTCAACCAGCGTCACGATGCCCGTAGTAGCGTTCACGGAAAACGCGCTCATGTGCACGCTGGTGTTGCCGTTGACGCTCAGCAGCGCGTACGACACGCTGTCAAAGCAGTCGCCGTCCGTGGCGTACGCCGTGGCCACCGCGGTCGGCGCCTGCACAGACTCGAGCACGCTCACGGTGGCATCCGGCACGCTGAAGACGGGCGCGTTGGCGTTGCCGGGCAGGATGGTGACGTTGGCCGTGGCCGTGGCCGTGCGGGTGCCGTCGCCCGCCTCAATCTGCAGCAGGTACGTCACGCCGGGGCTGTTGCGGTCGGCCAGGCACAGGCGGTGGCGCGGGAAGACGTTGCCCGTCGTCACTTCAATGGCAAACGGGAAGGCGGCCGTGGCCAGGGAGATGGGCCCGGTCGCAGACACAATGCGATGCACCACAGGCAGGGCAAGCGCGTCTGCATCCGTGGCCTGCACCCGTAGCACGGGGGCGCCAACCGCCACACCGTCGTGTACCACGGCGCTGTACTCCGTGTTGGCAAACACGGGCGCCTCATCGTCGACGTCCGTCACGGTGATGGTGAGCAAGGACACGTCGGTCTTGCCACCCGCATCCGCCACCTGCACGCCCATGACAAACTGGCGCGGCTGGCCGTTGGCCTGCTCGTAGTCGAGCGCCCGTGCCAGCGTGAGCACGCCGCTTGCGCTGTCCAGCACAAAGGTGGCCGGCGTCGTGTCGCCGGAGATGACGCTGTAGGTGAGGGCGTAGTCGTCCCCGCAGTCCGCGTCCGTGGCGGCCAGCGTGGTGATGACCGTGCCGGTGGCCGTGTTCTCGGGAACAGACACGCTCGCCGTGCTCACCGCAAACGATGGGGACGCGGCATTCGCGTTGGTGACCGTCACATCAAACACGGCCACGCCAGCAGCGCTTGCGGGAAAGGCCGTGTCTGCCACGCTGAGCACGAGGCGGCGCAACGGCTCTGTGTCGGCGCACAGGAGGCCGGCCTGGTTCACGCGAAGCTCGCCAGAGCTGGCGCCCAGCGAGAACGCGCCGTCATCGTTGCCGGCAGTGATGGAGAAGGTGTGCGTGGCAGAGACGGTGCCGGCAGAAACGAGGCCGACGAGGGTGCCCGCAGCCGCGTTCTCCGCCACGTTGGCCGTGTACATGGGCTGCGAGAACGCCGGCGCGTTGGGGTCCGCGGCGACGACGCGCACGCGCACGTTGGCCTGATCCGTGTTGGATGCGCCATCCTGCGCCTGCACGGTCAGAATCTCCTCGTCGCCCTGCTGCAGGGAGCTGGAGGCCACGACAATGAGACCCGCAGACGTCACCGACACGCGGGAGCTGGGACCGCCCACCTGCGAGTAGGTGAGTGTCGTGTCCTCGCAGTCCGCGTCCGTGGCGCTGAGCACCAGCACCACAGAGTTGAGGGCGGCGTCAGCAGCCACGTTGGCCTCATACAGTACAGTGGAGAACGCGGGCGCAAACGTGTTGCCCGCGGTGAGGGTGACGGTGAGCACGGCGTCCGTGTACAGGGACGTGGGTTCACCGTCATCGGTCGCGCGCACAACGAGGGTGTACGTGTCAAGCAGGCTCGCGCACAGGGGCGCGGCCACGGTGATGGCGCCCGTGCTCGCGTCAATGGCAAAGGCATTGTCTGCGTTGCCAGAGACGAAGCTGAAGGCAACGGCGTCGCCATCCGCGTCCGTGGCGCTGGCCGTGGTCACGGCCGTGCCTGTGGAGGCGTCTTCGGAGAGGGTGACGGAGGCCTGGCCCAGGGACAGCACGGGTGCGTTGTCGTTGGTGTTGTTGACGGTGATGGTGAGGGTGAGCTCGTCAAACTCGGGCGGGTGCGTGCTGTCGCCCTCGTCTGTGGCGCGCACGGTGAGCGTGTACGAGCTGGCGTCAGCGTAGTGGATGGCAGAGGCCACAAATACCTCGCCAGTGTTGGCGCCCACGCCAAACACGGCCACGCTTGGGTCGCCGGTGAGCAGGTGCCCCGTGCCCTCGAGCGTGTACGTGAGGCGGTCACCGCAGTCCACGTCCACGGCCTGCACGGTGGTCACGCGCGTGCCCACGGTGGCACCCTCCACCACGGAGGCCGTGGCGCTGGTGCTGGGGAACGCGGGCGCGTGCGCGTCGCCCAGGAGCACGTCGATGAGGACGGGCACGGAGGCCTTGCGCGCCGGGGAGCCGTTGTCGCTGGCCTCGACCAGCAGCGTGTACGACGACTGGTCGTTGAGGCACAGGTTGCGCTGGCGGCTAATCTCGCCCGTGGTGGTGTTGATGGCAAACACGCCAGCGTCGTCGCCGTCCACAATCGAGTACGTGATGTGGCACGTGTCGCACGCGTCGCTGTCTGTGGCCTCCACCTGCAGGAACGGCATGCCCTGCGCCAGGGTCTCCACCACGCTCACGCTGTACAGCGGGAGGCTGAATGCCGGGTCAAACTCGTTCACGTCGAGGATGGTCACCTTGACCACGACCGAGTCAAAGGCCGGGTCGGGCGTGGCGTCGTCCTGCACGCGCACGACAACGTCAAACGAGGTGTGCTCTTCGCGGTTGGTGGGGCCCGTGGTGAGCAGCTGGCCGTTGGAGTTGATGCGGAACCAGCGCGACGTGCCCGTGCCGCCCACGATGCTGTACAGCACAGAGTCGCCGCAGTCCGGGTCGACCGCGGAGATGGTGGTCACCAGCGTGTCGCTGGGCAGGCCCTCCTGCAGCGCGGCCGAGGGCAGCTCGTTGGCAATGACGGGGGGCCGGTTGTCGACAATGCGCACAATCACGTTGACCTGCGCAGAGGAGATGCGGCCGCCGCCGTCCGTGGCGCGCACGGTGAGGTCGTAGGAGGAGCTGGCAGAGCCGCACAGGGCGCCCGTGTTGGAGATGGCGCCCGTGGTGCTGTTGATGGAGAAGAGGCCGTCAATCGTGTCCGCGAGCGTGTAGGTGACGGTGCCAAACGCGCCGGCATCCGGGTCCGTGGCCTTGGCGGTGTACACGGTGGTCGGGTACGACACCTCGTCAATGGCCTGCGTCACGGGCGACTGCGCAAAGGAGGGCGAGTTGTCGTTCTCATCATCAATGATGATGACAACCGTGGCCAGGCCAACAAAGGAGCCGGACGTCACGGTTGCGGTGACCTCAATCTGCGGCGTCGCCTCGCGGTCCACGTTCCCCGTCGACACAAGCACGCCCGTCGCCGTCTGCATCATAAAGGGCAGGTTGGACCCCTGCAGGCCGTACATGAGCGTCTGCCCCTGCTGCAGGCAGTCCACGTTGTGCGCGACGAGCGCGGGGCTCAGCTCCACGCCAGAGCCCTGGTTCTCGCGGAAGTGGAACACGTAGCTGTCCTTCTCAAACGCGGGCGGGGAGTCGGTCACGTCCTCCACCAGCACGGTGACCGTGGTCGTGGTCTCCATGGGCGGCGTGCCCGAGTCGCGCGCCGTGACGTACAGCAGAATCGACTCCACAAACCCGGTGCCGTTGACGTTGGGCTTGCACGTGGAGTTGCCGCGCAGCTGCTCAAAGTCCACGCGCTGCTTCAGCCACAGGCCGCCCGTGGCGGAGTCGAGCTCAAACACGCCGTTGGGGTCGCCCGAGGCGATGCTGTAGTTGACCTGCGCGTTGGCGCCCTGGTCCGGGTCCAGGGCCACAATGGACAGGAACGTGCGCTCCACGGGCTTGCTCTCGGCGATGGTGACCGTGTAGTTGGTGCGGTCGAACATGGGCGCGTTGTCGTTCTCGTCCAGCACGTTCACGGTGACGGTGGCGTCGGCGTGGTTGGCGGGGTCCGACGCGCGAATCGTCAGCACGTACTGCGCGCGCAGCTCACGATCAAAGGACGTGTTCTGGTACACGGCGCCCGTGAGCTCGTCCACGTAGAAGAACTGCCGCATCTCCACGGGCAGGAGGGAGTAGCGGATCTGGGCGTTGAGGCCCGCGTCCGCATCCGAGGCGTTGGCGAGCAGCAGGAACTTGGGCCACGGCCCGTTCTCGCGCACGGCGACGCTCGTCTGCGTGAAGCCAAAGGTGGGCAGGTTGTCGTTGATGTCGCGCAGGATGAGGGAGATGGTGACGTTTGGCCCCGTCTGTGGCGGGACACCGCTGTCATGCACGCCAATCACCAGCGTGCGGCCGTGCCCCATCGCCTCGCGGTCAAAGACGGCCTTTGTCACGATGGAGCCCGAGTCGCCCATCTCAAACAGGTCCTCCTCGTTGCCCGTGAGGATGGTGAAGGCCGGGCGCGCGTTGGCGCCGAGATCCACGTCTGTCACGGCCAGGCGGTACACCAGCGTGCCCACCGGCTGCTCCTCGTCAAAGTACACCGTGACGTTGGTCGTGTCTGGGATGGGCGGGTTGTCGTTGATGTCGGTGATGGTGATCTGCACGCGCGCCTCCGAGGAGAGCGGGGGCGTGCCCAGGTCCGTGGCGCGCACAACAAACTCAATCTCCGGCAGGCCGTTCGGGAGCAGGGCCTCCCGGTCCAGGTCGGCAGCCACCTTGATGGCGCCCGTGTACTCCTCCACGGTGAACCGCGTCTCGTTGACAATGGCGTAGCGCATCTCGTACTCGGCAGAGGGCGGGCGGTCCGGGTCCGTGCTGGACACGTTGAGCACGGTGAAGCCGATGCTGCTGTGCTCGGGCATGGACCCTCGGAAGAGCGGCCGCGAAAACACGGGCGGCTCCACGTTGGCGTTGTCCACGATGACGGTGACGGTTGCTGGCAGCACGGCGCGGCCGGGCGGGTCGCCGCCGTCCTGGGCGTTGATGTTCAGCGTCAGCACGCGGCGCTCGTCGTACGAGACCACCTTGGACGTGCGCAGGAGCTGCCCCGTGGTGCGCCCCACGGTGAAGAAGCCCTCGTCCGTGGCGCCGGAGATGCTGTAGGTGACGTTGCCCAGCGCGCCAGAGTCCTGGTCTGTGGCAAACACGGACGCCACGAGCGTGCCTGCAGGCACGTTCTCCAGCATGTTGACGGTGATGTCCGTGTCGTTGAACACGGGCACGTGGTCGTTGACGTCGGAGATGTCGATGTTGAGTGTGGCCGTGACCGTGTGGACGCCATCGGTGGCCATCACGGTGAGGCTCAGGAGCGGGGCCGTCTCAAAGTCAAAGGGCGCCGACACCAGCAGCGAGCCGGAGAGCGGGTCCATGGCGAAGAACACGGCGTCATCGCCCTGAATCGCGTACGTGACCTGGTCATCCACGTCCGGGTCTGTCGCCTGCACCGTGTACGCCACGCTGCCGAGCGGCGTGTTCTCCGGCAGCTCGACGGTGAGGCCGTCCGCAAACTGCAGCACGGGCGCGTTGTCGTTGACGTCGGTGATGGTGACGACGATCGAGGCCGACGACTGCGCAACGCCATCCGAAGCCATCACGGTGAGGGTGATGTTGCGGTCCGCAGCCAGCTCGCGGTCAAAGGCCGCCCCAGAGGCAAGCGACAGCGTGCCGTCCGTGGCCATGACAAAGCGCGCGTCCCCAGACACAAAGTACTGCGGGGGCGTGGCGTCCGCGTCAACAGCGACGGGCTTGGCTGTGGGCGAGAGGGCGAGCGCGCCCGTTGGGCAGGCGCCGCTCGTGCACTCGGCAAGGGACAGCGTGTACAGCGGGAACTGCATAAAGGGGGCGTTGTCGTTGACGTCGCCCACAACAATCTGCACGATGGTGGTCGCCTCGTCGCTGTTGAGGGTGCCCTTCACCACGAGCGTGTACGTGGGCACCGTTTCGCGGTCGAGCGCGCCCGTGAGCGAGAGCACGCCCGTGTTGGCGTGGATGGAGAAGAGCCCCTCTGGGTCGCCCTGCGCAATGGTGTAGATGACGCTCGGGTTGCTGGAGCCCGCCACCAGGGCCTCCACCGTGCCAACAGAGGCTGCGGCGTCGTTCTCCACAACGGTGAACGAGTAGGTGGGGGAGGCAAACAGGGGCACGTTGTCTGTGGGGTCGGCGACGGTGACGATAAGCTGTGCGGAGCCCGTCTTTGCGTTTGCGTCCGGCGAGTCTGCGGCGGTGACGGTCATGCTGAGGACGGACGGCGCACCGGGGAGGGTGGACGCCACCGTGACCGCGCCAGAGGCCTCGTCGATGGAGAAGGTGCCGCTCTGGTCGTCAATGGAGTAGAAGAGCGGCAGATCCGGGTCGTCGCCGTCAATGGCCGTGAGCACGGCAATGGTGGTGCCGATGCTCGTCGTCTCCGAGACGGTCACCGCGTACGTGCTCGACTCAAACGCCGGCGGCTCGTTGCTCGTGTTCTCCACGGAGAGCAGCACGTTTGCAATGTCCGTGTTGTACCCATCGGAAGCCTGCACCTCCAGCTGGTACGAGAAGGTCTGGGCGTAGTCGTAGTTGCCGCCGCCAGCAGGCACCTTGATCTCGCCCGTGGACGCGTCAATCTCGAAGATGCCCGAGCCGCGCGTCGGGTAACCAAAGACGTTGCGGATGCTGTAGGTGATGGTGTCGCCCTCGTCCGCGTCCGTGGCAGACACGGTAAGGATGGTGCTGCCGCCTGCAGCAATGTCGCTCACAGCCCCAACGTATGTCATCTGCGCAAACGCCGGCGCATTGTCGTTGGAATCCGTCACCGTGATCACCACAGTGGCAGTGTCACGTCGCGCAGGCACACCTCGGTCCTCAACTGCAACAAGGAGTGTTGTTTGTAGGAGGGGGAGGGGGTGGAGAAAGAGGGGTTTCATGAAGTGTGTGTGCGTGCATGTGTGTGTATGTGTGTGTGTGTGTGTGTGTGTGTGTGTGTGTGTGTGTGTGTGTGTGTGCGTGCATGTATGTGTGTGGGTGTGTGTGTAATGTGAGATGAGAGGGAGTGAGAAATGATGCGTACGTGTGTTTGTGGGCGACAACGAGCGGATGCAAACAGAACTGCATGTCACCACACCCAAGCACATGCACACGCATACAAGGGCGCGCAAACACCCACACGCGCACACACACACACATGCACACGAGCAAAGCACGCAAAGCACACACACACATGCACACACACACACATGCACACGAGCAAAGCACGCAAAGCACGCAAAGCAAAAGAGACGGGTCACTGTAGGTACGCACCGTGGACATTGAAGGCGTAGGTGCGGCGCGTCTCATAGTCGAGCGGAACAGCAGCGCTGATGGCACCCGTGGTGACGTCAACCTCAAACGTGCCGTTGGCGTTGGACAGGCTGAACACAAGCTGCGCGTTGGCACCGGCGTCCGCGTCCGTGGCGCCCGCTGTGAGGATGGGCACGTGCACGGCCACGTTCTCCGGCGTGCTGGCCGTGAACATGGTCTTGTTGAACTGCGGGTCGTGGTCGTTGATGTCGCCAACCACCAGCACAATGGACGCTTCCTGTGGCGAGCCAAGGTTGGCAAAGCCAGCCGCAGCGCCGTTGTCACGCGCCGTCACGCGCACCGTGTACATGGGCGTGGTCTCACGGTCCAGCGGCTGCAGGAGGGTGAGCGCGCCCGTGCGCGCGTCAAGCGACACAACGGCGGTGGGCGCAACGAGCGAGTACGTGATGTTGCCGCTCTGGCCAACGTCTGGGTCAATCGCCTGCGCACGAGCAACAACTGTGCCCACGGCGGCGTCCTCGGGAACAACAAACGTTGCCGGGTTCTGCGGGAAGGTGGGCGGATTGTCGTTGATGTCGCGAACGACGACCTTAACGTCCGTAAACGACTCCTTGGGGATGAGGGCGTGGTCGCGCGCGCGGATGGTGACAAAGTACACAGCCGAGGCCTCCCTGTCCAGGCCCGTGGGCAGCGTGCTGAGGCTGCCCGTCGTCTCATCAATGGTGAACAGGTCGTCGTGCGTCACCACCGTGTACGACACGCGGCGGTTGTCTCCAAACTCGTCAGCGTCGTCCGCTTGCACCCGCACAATGTCCAGCGACGCAAAGGCGCCCTGCATTTGCAGCGCGTGCGAGTGATTTTGGGGGGGGGGATGGGAGAAAGTGTAATGGGACGAAGGGGGAGGAGGGGGAGGAGGAGGGTTGTAACGTGAGCGAGGTCAAGAAGGAGATGGAAAAGATGGAAAGAAAAGCGCGAGGCAAAACATGGCCACGGCACGTGAGTCGCCTCAGACCTACGGCGCAACCATGACCGTACGCGCACACACACGCAACCATGCACGCAACCACACACCATCACACAACCACGCACAATCGCACAATCACACAACCACACAACCACGCAATGCGCACCTCTGTGACGGTCGCCTCGTATTCGTTGGAGCGGAAGACGGGGGCAAACAGGTTTTCCGGGGTGACAGTGACGAGCACGTTGGCCGATGCCGTGAGCGGCGGTGTGCCGTGATCCATGGCAGATATGATGAGCGAGAACCTGCTCTGCAACGCAAAGTCCAGGGGGTTGGTGGTCGTCACCAGGCCCGTGTCCGGATCCACCGTGAACACGTCATCGTTGTTCAGCAGCGTGTGCGTCACAAACGAGTTGGGCGTGTTGGCCTTGTCCTGTCGGCATTGCAGTGAGGACAAACACAAGCCAGGAATACGGGCAATTAGTGTATGTATGTGGGCAGGTGTACGTGTATGTGTGCTTGTGTGTGTGTGGGGGGTGTGTGCTTGCTTGCAAGCATAACGAACCAATTATACCGCACAAGTCACAAGCCACGTGCCACAAAACAAACGAAGCACCTCGCTCTTCTCTTCCTACCCCCCCCCCCAAAAAAAAAACACACACACACACACGCTCTCTCTCTCTCTTTCTTTCTTCCCCACCCACAACGTACAGCGTCTGTAGCAAACACGGTGGTGCAGACTTGGCCAGCCGGGAGGTTCTCTGGGATGACGCACGAGTAGTTGGTCTTGGGGAAGATGGGTGGATTGTCGTTGGTGTCGTTGACGGTGATGTACACGGGAACAACGTCCCTGCGCGAGGGGGCGCCCTCATCCTTGGCCTCCACATACACCGTGTACTGCGACTTGACCTCGTAGTCAATGCCGGACAGCGCAACCATCTTGCCCTCGCGGTTGTTTGGGATGTTGAAGTGGCCCGACGAGCCGTTCACAATGCGGTACGTCAGCTGCGCGTTCAGGCCGCTGTCGCGGTCCGTGGCCTGGAACTCGCCCACCAGCGTGTTGCGCTTGATCGTCTCAAGCACGTTAAACGCGTACGAGCGACGCTGGAACTGCGGGGTGTTGTCGTTGATGTCCAGCACATACACATTCACCTGCGCCGTGGAGGAGCGGGGTGGAACGCCAAAGTCGGTCGCCGTCACCGTCAGCGTGTGCTGCGTCTTGTTCTCGTAATCGAGCGCGCGCACAGCGTAGATGTTGCCCACCATGCTGCCGGCCTGGCTCACCGTGTCAATGCGGAACATGTTGTCGTCGTTGCCGTTGGTGATGTTGTACTGCACACGCGAGTTGCTGCCCTGGTCGTTCTCGGCAGCAACCACCTGGATCACAAAGCGGTTTGTCTCCGTGCTCTCCGGAAGGTACTGGTTGTAGCGGTCCTGCGAGAACACGGGGTCAAGGTCGTTGACATTGGCAATGCTGATGGTCAGAGTCGCCGTGTCCGTGCGTGCAGGCACGCCGTGGTCCGTGGCAGTCACCACCAGGTTAAACGACGTGGAAATGGCCTCCGCGTCAAACACCGTCAGCGTGGTCACAACGCCGGTGGTGGCGTCAATGGCAAAGTCTGTGGAGGGCGGCGTGAGGGCGTACGTCACGCGGCCGTTCTCGCCGCTGTCTGCATCTGTTGCCGTGACAATGAGGGCAATGGTGCCTGTGTCGGAGTTCTCGGCCACGCGCGTGGCGTACGACTCGCGCTCAAAGACAGGCGAGTTGTCGTTGACATCCAGCACCTGCACGGTCACCACCGCCTGCGCAGTGTGCACGCCGTCCGTCACTGCACAGAGAGGAATGTGGGCGGTGGACGGTGTGTGCAGGCGTTTTGAGCAGGTGTAAGAGTGTGTGTGTGTGGGGAGGAGGAGGTGTATGCGCGTGAGAAGCAGTGAGTGGACCAAGCTTAAGAGGGAGTCAAAAACACACACGTGGGCGACTGGCAATGAACCGCGACACACACATTCAAGCGCACGCACACTGCGTACACTGCGCACACCGCACACCACACATACACACATTCAAGCGCACGCATACTGCGCGCAAACCCCACACACAAACACACAAACACAGCCACCGTGGCGGCACCACGGTACCTTGGATGGTGACGGTGTGGGAGGTGACGGTGTCATAATCGAGCGCGCCCGTGAGCTGCAGGACAACAACGGCGTTGCTCTGCACAGAGACAGAGAAGAGGGAAATGTCAGAGTTGAGCAGCGAGGCCGAGAGCTGCGCGTTGGCGCCAACATCGGCATCGGTGACGTTGATGGTGGTGAGAACGGTGCCAATGGTGGCGTTCTCCCGCCACGTCACCGTGCGCTCTTGCGTTGCAAACACGGGCGGGCTGTCGTTGGTGTCGAGAACCGTCACCAGCACGGTGGTGGAGTTGGACGCCGGCGGTGTGCCGCTGTCTCGCGCAGTCACCGTCAGCGCAATTGTGTCCTGCGTCACCAGACAACGTCGTAATCACGGTGATAATGATGATAATGATGATGATGATGATGATGATGATGATGATGATGATGATGATGATGATGATGATGATAGAGGGTGGGTGGGACAAATGGGTGAGTGGAACAGGCGAAGGATGGGAAATGTTTGTGGAAGCAACATGTGTTTGGCCACGTGCGTGAGAGGGGTGTGCAAGACGAAACAAAGTGAGTGCACATGGTGATCGCAGGCTTTGTGCCATTTTGATGCTAATCCAGCACAGGGCAAACGCCACATGTTGATAGGGTGTGTCTTCACCGTCGCTTGGTTTCCATCATCGCTGCCCCCTCCTCCCCCTCTCTCTCTCCATTCACTCAACCCAGAGCATTGAATTCAACCACATGCACGAGAAGCTCCAAGCACGCGTGCCGGCACTAACGGCCTTCTTCCCTTATCGAGAAGACCCGTTCGTGGTGATGATCCG